TAAGGAAAATAGAAGAGGAGTTGTTTTATTTACTATCGATTAAAGTTTGATTTAATTAATAGAATGAATAGTTGATAATAAATGGTGAAATACTTATGAACATAAAAAATATACCAGGCCATTTCATATACCTGATATTTATGATCTCTACGACTAACCTCCAAATCTATACAATTATCTGAATTTTTAAGTTAAAGACTGAGCTTGACCCGTACACATAAGGTTATTAGTATTTTTTATAAATTTATATAAAGAAGGGGCGCTTAGCCTAAGTTCTCCCCAAGTGGGAGAGCCTGCATCATTATTTGTGGCGGAGAGGTCTGCGTTCGCGCGACCCCTACCAACCATTGCAGTTTCGAATCTTTGTTATATCATATGTCTGGGTAAAACTAAATCTTCAGAAAGCTAAAGTCAATAATTGACTTTTCGTGGACATTACTAGATCCCCTTATCCCACACTGAAAGCATAAAACAAAAGTAAATGGCTTTCGTTGAAATCATCTTCAATCCTTGTTGATAATCATGAGCTTCTTCAAGTACGGTTATCTTTGTATGTCTCTGCTTGAGACTCTCTATGTGAACTATTATTATCTGTTCTTCTTGTTAAGAAGTAGAATACTGACTCGAACAACAAGTCAACAGTAAATAGTCTTTAATATGTAAATCATATACACCATGCCACGTTACCATCCATTGTTAGCTTTTCAACTTCTTATCAATCTGTCACAACTGTTAGTAACTCACTTGTATAAATAATCTTTGGTAAATTGTAATTGTGTGAAGACTCGAGAACATTTTATTATATGCATAAAGATAATAACTGATTTGGTTCTACAAATCCATATTCCCACATCGTAAGTGTATATCAAGTAGGTTGGGTTTTGTCTGAGTATAAAATAGAGAGGCTTTCTCTTCTTGAAACTCATCTTTGCGCTTGGGGCAATGACGCAGCTAATGAGGTACTAACCGAGGCGCGTCTATTGCTGGTTGAAAACTATTTCCAAACCCCCTCTTAGGTTTAAGCTTTGTCTTGGACCTTCGAGAATTTTTGGAAGGGCTCCCTTCGGGGTAAAGCCCTACAATTTTTCAAGTTCAAGTTTTGTTTCTTAGCCTATGATCTTAAAGGCATTTTGTCGGCATCTTTATTCAAATAAAAAAAGGATGTTATTATAATGTACTCAGTGCTGTTAACTGATGAAAAACATATATTTTGTCGTTGTTACATCTCTCTAAGTGGCTGAATGATTTGAAAATGGTAGAGAAGAAGTTACTGGAATATTTGAATGTTTCTCTGTTTATACTCAGCTGAAAGAGGTTGAATTTAAATAGTAGACCAGTCAAGGCATGAATCATCAGAGCAAACCTGCAAATTGAATTTTCAAAAATGAAAATTCAGATCACAAGTGTCAATAGCTATAACTTACAAAGTGATCAACTATAAATTTCATGAAGGCTCATAAAAAACAAAATGTAATGTGAGATTTTGTTGATCGAAAATAAAATTTGGAACTACAACAAGACGAAATAAAGGATGAGCAAAATACATGCGAGTGTCCAGAAATCTATCAGGAAACCAGATTTTGACCCATGCTTAGAAAACGTGGGATGATTTTTTGGTGAAAACTTTATATAACCACTTAATATAGGCATATGCATAAGATACGTAATCCGAAATTCGAGCAATAAAAAAAAAAAAAACATGAGATATACCCGGTCTGAAATGTAATAAATAACATAAGCAGTTTTGTAGGGTGGTAAATAACATATCCGAACCCGAAGTTTATTAGCAAACCCGAACGGGTAATCCCGGAAACCTAAAAGTCTGATCTAAATCTCCATATTAATCTCAAAAATAAATATTTGAAATATACATATATATATACTTCAAATATGCAATTCTATATTTATTTTGAAATGATATCTAAAAATAAGTTTTAATATTTAAATATCCAGTTATATATAAATAAGTATTTATTTCTTATATTTTGCTTTTCAATTTTGGATTTAACTTCAGGTATATCTGAATTATACCAATATAACATGAATTCAAACGATATATCGTTATTTTATAGATTTTAAGATGTGATAAAAGTTAAACCTAAATCGATGTGTTATATCCAAACACGGTCATACTACTAATTTACCATAATAAGACCTAGGATATGACATAAATTAGAGTATATATTATTATGAACACATAATTTAATGTAGGTGTTGTTTTTTTTTAAAAAAGAAGATTTTCTACAATATAAATAAAAGGAAATTCAGAAAAGAGAAATCCATAAAATTCAGAATTAAATAAAAACTATAGATTTTAAATATTTCAGTGGCATGGGTCTGTAAAAAGTTTTTAGTTAAAAGTTAAAAGACGGATTCTTATATTCCGTTAAGAACTCCGCCATAAGAATCCCTCTTAAAAAAGTTAAATGATGGACTCTTATATTCCGATAAGAACTCTCAGTCGTAAAAACCCTTCAGTGTGATGGTCTTAAAGTTTTAATAGTATTGATGCTCAGACACATAACTGGGCCTATAGTAATAGTATCCATCAGCCCACGTATATTGTAATAAAGAAAAACTTTGTATCAATGCAAGAAACGTGCTATACAGTCCCACATCGTTTGGACTCAGAAAAAAGGACTCGCAGAGAAGAGTATAAGAAGGGAAGTGTAGTGAACAAGCAAATCACTTACCTGGACAGGGTCAACTCATGATCAAGAAGATGAGTGGCCTAGGCTAGTGACCTCCATTGCACTCTAAGGAGGGGTGCTTAGCCTAAGGTCTCCCCAAGTGGGAGAGCCTGTGTCATTATTTGTGGCAGAGGGAACCTGCGTTCGCGCGGCTCCTACCATCTATTATCAGTTTAATCATATTCTCAAGTTTGACAGTGTATCATTGCATAAGAATCTGTGAGTGTTCACGAAGATAAATTGGTTCCATCTATGTGTTTGCTGAGACGATGACTCCCTTCTCGATAAACACCTCAGTTCTGTTATGTAAAAGAGGTCTTTGTTTTTCTTCCATGCTTTGTCCAAATAACAAAGACCTCTTTACATAACAGAACATAAAGAAACTAGACTGAAGATCTTAAGAATTCAATGCATATATGTAAATGAAACACATACACTTATTCTGTTGTTGTTTTCTTATCTTTGTGTGTCTCTGTGCTTGAGATTCTCTAAATGAACTATTATCATATGTTCTTCTTGTTGCTTTACTTGTTAAGACATAAAATACTTATTCGAACAACAAAAAATGGTCTTTAATAATCATATACACGGTCCTTGCTACACTACTATCGATTTGTAGTTTTAAACTTTTTATCAGTCACACAATTGTTTGTAATTCCATTGTATAAAGAAGTGTTTGGTAATTTGTATTTATGTGAAGACATGAGAACAATTATAAATGCACAAAGATAATAACTGATTTGGTTCTACAAATCCACACTCCCACATCGGAAGCATATATCACGTGGATTGGTTTTGTTTGGACTATAAAATAAAGAGGCTCTCACTTCTTACAACCCATCTTTGCGCTTGGGGCAATGACGCAGCTAATGAGGTACTAACCGAGGCGCGTCTATTGCTGGTTGAAAACTATTTCCAAACCCCCTCTTAGGTCTAAAGCTTTGTCTTGGACCTTCGAGAATTTCTGGAAGGGCTCCCTTCGGGGTAAAGCCCTACAATCTTTTTAGTTCAAGTTTTGTTTCTTAACCTATGAGCTTTTGTCTTTTTATTTTGGTTTCAAGAAGGCATCCTTGTCTTAAAGTGAAAAGTATATATGTTTATAATGTACCTGTTAAACTTAATACAAACACCAATCCGTATGAAGCATCGAGTTTTCATTAGAGCAAATATGATTAAGCTAGCAACACTCAAAAATGTAGGTTGTTGTATGGGATGTTTAACCTTTTTCTATGTTTATACTCACTCAGCTCAAAGAGGCTGATTCCCAATATATCTGTAAATCTAGTCAAGACAAGAATCATCAGAGCAAATCTGCAATTTCTATTAGAAAAAAAAACAGGTCACAGTAGTCAAGAGCTGTAGGTTGTTGTATGGGGCAACAAAGAGATCAGCTTATTTTCTGGAAGGGTCACAAGAAAACTAAGTAATATGTGAGATTTTGTTGATTAAATATAAATATTGGTCCACCAAAAATACAAAATAAAGGATGAGCAAAATACAGGCGATGACCAAGCTGTGAGTGTCCAGACTGTAACAAGAAATGCTCAACACACGTAACTGGGCCTATGGTATCAGCTTGTATGTATATTGTACTAAAGAAAAAACTTTTGTCTCAGAGCGAGAAACTTGCTCCCAAATAGTCCCACATCGGTTACATTAGAAAGAAAGACTCGCAGAGGAGAGTATAAGAAGGGAAGTGGACTGAACAAGCAAATCACTTACCTGGACAGGGTCAACTCATGATCAAGAAGATGAGTGGCCTAGGCTAGTGACCTCCATTGCACATTAAGGAGGGGTGCTTAGCCTAAGGTCTCCCCGAGTGGGAGAGCCTGTGTCATTATTTGTGGCAGAGGGAGCCTGCGTTCGCGCGGCTCCTACCATCTATTCTGGAGTGTTCACGCAAATAAATTTGTTCCATCTATGTGTTTGCTGAGACGATAGTTCAATTTTTGTTTTTTTTTCCATGCCTTGTCCTAATAACAAAGACCTCTTTACATAACAGAAAATAAAGAATCAACACTGAAGATCTTAAGAACGCAATGCATATATGTAAATGAAATACATACACTTATTCTGTTGTCGTTTTCTTACAGTCTAATCGAGTGCTCACTAGAGAAAGTATGTGTTCGATAAGATAAATAATACTCATTTATTCATGTCTTCTCTTGACTCTTCAATACAAAGCTCTCTGGTTATCCCCAAACCCTTCTCCAGATCACTTGTTGAGAACAAACAACAACTCTGTTACATTCTTTTTTTTTACCCAATGGCTGAATGATCTAATAACCGTAGAGAAGTTGTATTACTCATTTATAAACCATCATTAAGAATCACAGAGCAGAAGATCCCTTGAACAAACTCGCTCTGTTTCAACTTTTCTCTGTGATCCTCTGCTGAAAGTGATTTCTTTTGAACATTCCTGTAAGAATCCGCACAAGAAAAAGAATCATGAGAGGTCTACGCAGTGAGAATATCAAGATTCTGTTTGTAATCAATCCGAGGAAGAGGAGCAATACCGTTCAGGCAAACTATGAATCGATGCCTTCTTGGCTGAAGTTGACTCTGGAATGAAAAGTTCATCAGCCATGGGCGTAATGAAGGAAGACAGCAAAGGGTCAGCAGCTATAGTGGCAGAGGAAGGAGGCACAACACGCGAGGAGGTTCCTTCAAACAAGCTCTGAAAGTTTCCATCAGGAAACTCTCTCTTCAAGATTGATAGCATGGACTGAGCCCCGCCTCTTCTTGCTTTTCTTTTTCTAGTCGTCACGTGATATTTTCGTTAAGGAATGAATGAAACACACTCATTTGAGGAATCACATAAGTAAAATAATGGTTAAGGGGAAAGAAACAAAAAGGATATCTTGAACATATTCGCATGTTGAAGGGTTATATGAGCAACCATATCAGAGCTCACTTTCACCGCACAGACAGGGCATACCTACAATGACAAAAATTCAATCCTCAGGGTTCAAACACAAGTTCCTATTGTAGCAACTCTTCTCACAACAAACAAGGGCTACTTCCACTTCATTAATATTACATCCAAGATGAGAAACTACTAAACAAAGAACAGTGTGCTACCTAATCTACCACTTAAGCATTGTGATGAAACATAACGCGATCCATAGAGAAAAAGAGTTGGTTAAGGAATAGTAATATGGAAGAAATATATTTACCCCATTGATTGTGTTCATAGGATGATCCTCGTCTATGTGGCAGCAGAGAGACACGATATCAAAGTAGTCAGAGCAGAAGGGGCAAGCATACTCCTCCCTGAAATCATCTTCTCCCTCTACCTCCTCAAACCCCAAGAAATTATCTGCGTTTTTCATTTTTGTTTAAAAAATCGGTCAAATTCAATGCAAAGAGAAAACCAACTACAAATGACACAAGTACAAAAACAGAGCGTTAAAATAATATAAAAGGACTACTAAAAACGCGTTCCATTCTTGCTGGTTACAAATATAAATCGTTGATTAGAAGAAACGTTGAGATAAGTAATAAACGATGGAAACACTAGCAAATCGATAACCTTCCTTGTCAAATATGTCTTTATGTTCGAGATGAAACTAGAATTAAACGTGTCACCAAAACAACAAGTTTTTGAATTTCGTGTTGGTGATATAAGAATCAAAAAGGTTCAAACTTTTAAGAAGTTCATACCGAAACCCAAGGAGAAACTCTTGGTATAAACTAGCACACACGCTTGAGTCAAATGCCTCAAAAAACAATAACTCTGCCTTCTCAGGAAAACGAATAAAACAAATTCAACATCATCACCATAAGAAACATTGAGCATTAAACGAAATAAGGATTCACATAATCGCAACAACATCATCTTTAAATAAAGCCAAGAATAATCAAATCTCAATCTATATATTTGGTTTTTTTGTTTAATTGGGACTCACCAGATCGGGACAAGAAATCGAGCTGGTATCTCCTTGAAGCCGATGCGAGACGATCAGTCCACGAATCGGAATCCATTTTTTAATCTCAATCGAAACCAAAGATTCCAACTTTTCAACAAATAAAATTAAAACCGAAAGAATCCAGAAAGAAAGAAAGAAAGAGATCAAAACAATTTAATTTTCCGGGTGAAGATTGTACGGATATTATTACGAATCGAATTGATTCCGGCGAGATTGCAAAGAAGACGATAGCGGCGATGATTCTGCGTCGGTTTTCCGGAATTTGTCTTCCTTTTCTTTTCTTTTTTCTTTTTAATTATTCTTTGGATAGAGAGTGAGAGACATATAAGAGACAGAGGTGAGTTCTGATGTAATAATTACATTAAAACGTTTTATTTACATGGATTTAGTTACTTTATCTTTTTCTTAAAATTTTAATCCCTCAATTTCAACACCCGCACGAATGCATGCCGTTCAAACTTTTTATCCGCCGTGTATTTCCCTTTTAAAATATAAAACTGGCACGAATTTCCTTTGATAAAAAGTCATGTTGTTAGCTATATTTTGGGTAATGTTTGTTTACTCGGCTAGATACAGAACTATCATTTTTTTTTTCTTTTTTTTTAACACAAATACAGTACTGTCATTATAAAATAAAATTTATGTATAAATTTTTGTTCTGGTAAAAGTTTTAATATATATTAATAACTAATTAATCATAGATTAACACTACAATAATATATATAACATTAATAAACAAGTAAACTAAATATAGTTATATTTTTTAACCAGTTCTCAAAAAAAATATAGTTATATTTCTTAAAAATTAACATTAACTTATATCATATATATATATATTAATTTAAATGTGCTTTAAAAATACAAAATTAAACAATACTAATCAAATAAATAACTTTTTGATAATTAATATATAATATTTATTAGTATATATTTATTGGTTCATTGAGTTGATAAAATTTATTTTACCTAAAACAAGAAGATCTAGAAATTATTATAATTTATACATTTAATTATATACATTCTTAAGATATTAAATAGAAATTATTTTACAAATAATATTTTAAACTCTATTGAATATAAATAAAATAAAATTGAAATAGTTAAACCAAATAATAGTTAAACCAAATAAAAAACAAATTTTCAAAAAAACATTTCAGATTATACTTTTCCTAAATTTTGAAGTTTAAATGTTAAAATAATAATATCACAATGTTAACTATTTTTGTAAGTAAAATAATATTATTTTGAAATATTATATCTGCACATTAGGCAGGAGATTCATAGTTGAATAAAAATCATCAGAATTTTTAATATTACCTGAAATTTTCTATAAAAATTAGCCAGTCCTTACAAATTATTTAGATATACATGATTCCTGTCCTTTTTTTGAACAACCATATACATGTTTCCGTCTAAAATGATAAAAATGATCCTCATTACACATAACCTTACACCAAAACCTTCTGCCGTTTACTCTGAGTTTATCACTTATGGATTCAAACTTAAGGTTTTGCTCAAAGATAAGATCATTACGAATTTATTTACTTTGAGTTTGGAGAAGTAATTAAACAAAATAATCTTGTGATTAGTTAGGGATTTTGCTCATGTTGAAGCAGTAAACCTCATAACTGTTTTTGTATTGAATGTTTATGACTTAGTGAAATTACATATGTTTTTCACTTAATTTATCCTACGATAAATTAAATAGCAGGTTACATGACTGAGATCCTTTGCGGAGTTACATACACTATATAGAGAAACAATAGAATCAGAGATCAATATAAAAAAGAAGACTAAGAAGATCATTGGTTCTAAAATTGTTTCAAGCCTTCTTGTTCTTTGCCATGGCAGCAATAAGGTCTGATGTGGTGTAAGAGCGGAGGACAAGATCAGAGAGTGAGAGCTTAAGATCAATGGTTAGTCTCTGAAACACCTGAGATAAGAGTAATACATCTGACAAGGCTCTGTGAGCTTCACCATCTCTGGTAAGACTGTAGTAATCCCCTAGAGCTGATAATGACGCTTTTGGCTTAACTGTTGCGTCTGCCAAAGATAAGAAGAAGAAACCCATTTCTGGTTTTATCAGTTTCTGAACTTTACAGACCAAACCAATCAAGAACTCAAATTGCTATATATAATGCTAACAAGCAGAGACCAGGAACATTACCTACAGACTTCATGCTCTCTCTGGCAAGTGGGAGAGAGTCAAAGAACAACCAATTATGAGGAATCTCGTAAGAGCAACGGTTAAACTCGTTGATCAAGAACTGAAAATCAAATGTTTTGCCATTATGTGCAACAATCATCACATAACCTCCAGGCTTCTGTCTACTCTGAACATACCGCAGAAATATCGGTATCATCTCCTCCATTCTATCAACATACAAAAACCAATAAATAATCACACAAACTCAAAGATTGTTGACTGTATCTAAATGTATACCTTGGAACCTCAGGTCTACAAACCATATCATTCCTGATCCCATGGATACTAGCATTCAATATAGGAACACCAGGATTAATAAGACTTTGAAACGTACTATTCTCACCACCAGCTAGATCCTGAGCTGCTATTTCAATAATCCTCTCTTTCACCCTATGCAACCCTGTTGTCTCAAGATCAGAGACTATAACAGTCAAGAGTTTAGACAGATCTTTGTTTTCAGCAAGACGTTGCTGAAGGTTTCCAAAAGGCTGTTGTAACTTGGTGGTGCTCTCTGCATCTACTATCCTTGTAACAGGAACTGCTCCTCCAAGGACACTGCTCTTGGTTTTGCTCCCACTTCCTTGTGTAGTTGTGCTCACGTTCCGCCTCACCCATCTGCTCTTACTATTAACCGAGGAAGCTCTAATATCGAGAAGCTTTGGGGTTGAGTTGTTTTTGAACCAGCCATGGACACGTTCACAGCAAGAAGTTCCTCCAAATAGGTTGATTCTGAATCTAGATACTTGCGAGATTGAGATACACATTCTTTCTTTCTTTCTCTCCCCCCTCTAAGTTAAGATCAAGAATCAAAATAATAATGCTCCTGAAGAAGATTAAGAATCTAACATTAGAAGATATGAAAAGTTAATAACTTTCGAGTTATAGAGACATCTAACGATAGAATGGAACAAACCAAACACAACCGAACACACTTTACTTATAATCTCAGCATAGGAAAGAGAGAAAACTATAACAAAGAAACCAAAAGTCATGATTTTTAAAACTCCAATCTGAATAATTCAATAAAAAGTATTGTAATTTACAATCAACATAAACGAAAGTGACGAACTAAAGGAATCGAACAACTTTTCTAATCGAAGAGACCGTAAAGGAGTTAACTTTATGTAATGTTTGAGAATCTAAATCTGACCCAGAAAGAGAGAAAGAGAAGATACTTGCCTCGTGTAATGAAAACTTGCATCTGCACGGAATTGAGATGTTTTGAGAATCAACTGTTTATAGAAAGAGAGAGCGAAATGGTGGAGATTGAAGTAAACCCGAGAAGAAGACCCTTTTAATTCGGATCTTTGACCCGATCCGATAAATACGGATCTATGATCCGAGGGTCATACATGGTTTCCACTTTTGGAAATTGTCCATCCTACTTTCGCACTTGAGTTGGTATATTGTAAAAAATATAATTTAAGATTAGATTAATAATTAAGATTATGATAGTTTAATACCAAACTGATCTGTGTCATAACATTATACATTTTTGGATTTTCTGCTTACAAAATCATTTTAGATTTGGATAATTAAATCATAGACTTATTATAGGAATCTTTTATGTTTAAATATATATGAAAGAAAAGAATATTCCTATCTTTTGTAGGAAAAACATCCCAGCAAGTCACTTGGTTCAACTTGCGTATATGACCTTTTTTAGATAACTTGTTTCGGTTTCTTATGTATTTTTATCTTATTTTCCTGACAAGTAAAGAAAAGAGCAATTTTTTTTTACAATTTTGATGATGGAGCCATTATTAGAAATACGTACACGTTTGTTTTTTTTTTCTCTGGTTTTGTTTGATATACGTAATTAAACAGAAGAAAATTTAGTTAACACAGAAAAATATTTTGGTTGTACCAAACAGGATCAAATCTGAACCAACTCTAGTCAGATCCAAAGATTCATTTGAGCGTTGACCAACGATCATTACGGGCCGGCGGCTAACACAAAATAGGCCCAACTTTAGTGTGTTACATACACCTGCTCAAAAGAATGGCCCAAAGAACGTCGAACAAAGTAAGAATACTTTGTTTTTCCTTCTCAGGCGAAAACAGAGCTGCAAGACAATAATAGTAGACAAAGAGCAGCTTGTTCTTCTTCCTTTAGAATCCGCCGTTTCTTCAAAGCCACGCCACCATGTGATAATGATGGTGACGATGTTGATGATAGTGATGGATTTATCTTTTTATAGTCTTTGTGGCTGTGAATAATACGAATACCCAACAACTCGGACCGTCTTTGTTTCCTAAATCTAATCCCACATGCATTGCAAAGTGACTGAAAATCACACAATAAACAAAACAAACCAAGTTAAGAAAAGTTAATTCGATTTCTGCTTAAGATCAAATAAATCTGTATGTATAGTGATTATTAAAGTTGGAAGAAGAGACCTTGGGACCAGATGGTCCACCTCTCCACATTGGTGTCTTGGTGGTCTTGCACTCACTGCAACTCCTAATTGTCTTCTTCTCTTCTTCCATCTATTAAATTTAGAAGAGCAACATTGGCACACTAGACGATGAATAAGATCACAGCTATCTTGGATCAATTAAAATGAAGAGTTGATATGGAGAAACTGTGGCAAGAATGCTTCTTCTTTCTGGTATGAGTCATAAACAAGGCCTAAGAGTTCCTTAAAAACCGTCTAAAGCTAGGGTGACTGTGATAAGAAGACACAAATGCCCCTAGCTGCACTTTGATCAGTAATGATTACGGACTTTTTGGTGGATTTATGAAAAAACATCTGCCAAATCATTGTCGGCTGGAAAGCCAAGTGGCACTACGCACGACCATGATCAGTGGAATTACTTTTAGTAGTTAAGAGTGTGTGTTTCTGTATTAGAGAAAATAAAGTAGAAGAAACCAGAGATTGTGCAATCTTGTTCACATGAAGACAGAGAAAAAGGAATGAAGCAAAAGCCACGAATGTTTTCACTTAATAGTCTTCTTTTTGTGTGATCAGGAAGCCAGTAGTCTTCTTCCTAGATAGTTCGAGGAGAAGCAAAAAGTTACACGTTATAAAATACAAGACTAACATAGTCTCCAATCCCAAAATATTATTTTAGCAAGTATAATCAAAGTTTTTGACTAAGATAATTAGTGGGGATTTGATTTGAAAATTTTATATAATGAAATCAATTTTCTTGTAAATACAAGTTCTGAGAAAATGTCATGTCACTTTGTGACATTTATTTATTTAAGATACTACTACTAGTACTACTTTTTTTTGTCAACCTACTACTAGTACTACATATTGATGTTACGGGAGCTCATGGAATAAGTTGATTAGGTATACTTTATAATGATATTTTTGGGCACTTTTATATGACTTGAATAGGAAGAAAGCTACACAACTGTTTGGCATAGCCAAAAGGGTAATGATTCAACATTTTGGAGGATACTTTAGAAACATTCTTAAAAAACAATACGTTGGGCATATGAACAAATATGAAATAACTATGTCCCGTGATCGAAACCAATTTGATGTAGGCATAAATAGACCAATTTTATTTTTCTGCAAAATATAAAATGAAAGAGACAGAAAATCTTTTTATCTAATATGTTTTGACATAGCTTTCGTGCTCCGCAAGAATCCTTTGAATCGTCTAATATAGCATGTAAATGTTAAAGGCACAACAAATACTTAGAATATTTAAAAGTATACTGATTTGGTCAGATACAGCACTTCCTTTTTCTTACAATATATATCACACATGGACTGTGGTATACACAAATACTAATCCCCGTAACTTATTAAACCATTTGAAACAGCCAATGGCCGGGATCCATTTATCTAACATATACACACATAGTTCTTGCGCAGCAAGAAAACCTCTGAATTTAATACACTAGGCAAGGCTTCTTACAAGCCCTCCCTCGTTTTCTGGCACTTGTGTGTCTCCAGACTTGTCGGAGCTTGAAAGCTGCCTTAACTTTGCACCACCTGGCTCTCGGAGATCCCCCAATGTTTGCAACACGAACATCATACATACCCTCTTCTTCCGTGCCAGACACGCTAACACACAAATTGTTATACTCTTGTTGCTCCCAAACCGCAGCACCAGGTGACCAGTTAGAGGACATGTGGTGATGGTGATCATAAGCAAAACCGTTCTCATCCTCGTGGTTTCGGATATGACCTCTTGACACCACGCTTAGTAATTCATCATGTACCATATCGAGTTCACTTACTCTAAAGCTGTTTCTGAAAGTCGGTATGAATTTTGGGTCGATATGAAACGTTGTGGCTGGTGAGTTTTCGAAACTCATCAGCATTTCAGGTTGGATGGTAGAACCTGAAGCTGTGAAGTCCATGTGCTGCTGGAATCCAGGACAGGCTACGCCGAATCCTGGATTTTCCGGGAACTGTAAGGACCTTTGTGGATGGTCCGCAAAGGTCCTACGGTCCCTAAAGAGGTTAATGTTCTGATAAGCTTCATGCTTTAACTGGTTCAGCTGGTAGCTAGGTAGCTGATCCGTGCTTCGAAGGGCACCGCCTATGAACACTTGTGTCACTTCATAAACAGAGTTGAAGACAAGTGATACATCATGAGCAAATGAGTCGTAGATGTAACACTCTGTTTCATCCAAAACGCAATTCATCGCGTGGGATACAATTGATTCCCATATTTTCTTTGAGATCCCTCCACCACCAACAGCAAGTATCTATTATTTATATAAAAAAGGGAGAATTATATTTTTGAATGATTTAGAGATGAACTTATTTTCATCAAGATTCATTTAGATGATCTTACATTATATAAAGCGTTTGGATCCTTTGCATAGAAACGGCGGAAGTCTTTGACAGTATAAATATCCCGTTCAGCCAAACGCAACGCTGAAGCGCCATCTTTCGCGATTTTCTCTAGTCTCCAAACCTCGTCACCGGGGTACGGAGGATGATGTTTCTTATAAGCTGCATAACCAAAATAAAAACAATTAATATAACGTTTAAACCGCATCTTCAAAACGCACTAATCTCTAGTACTTCTTACATTCTCCACGTTGGTCTTTACACTTAAACGCTTCACTTCTAGCTTCCACGGCTCCATCACCGGTTAGTCTAGCACCTAACCGGAACTTCCGACACCTACTCCATATCGAATTATCCGTGAATGCGACGGCGACCACTCCAACACCTCCCTTAAGCGTCAACGTTACATCTCCGGTGAGTAACGGACGTTTCCCTTCGCGTGGTTTTAGAATATAACGTTTGAATACGTCAACGGTCCAGCTTTCCTCCGTGAAGTCAGCGTTGAGCGGCACTAAGTCAACCCTAGAAGACGAGAAAGGTCCCGAGACGACTCGAGCGTTCGTGGCTGCATCCACGAGCTCGATAGCTAACGGAGAACCGTTCTTGGCTTCGATCTTGGCTCCCGTGAATATCGACAGCGGCGGTGAGTTTATGAACCGCAGCTTGAATCTTGAACGCGACGACGGCGTTTCTGAACGCGGTTGCTCGATTTGGGACCACGCCGAAGAGTGAAGATTTTGATGAATAAGACGCTCAAGCTCCTCCCGAACCTAAATCATAAAAATATAATTAATCACTAGTTTATACTAGTATATTTCATTAAATATATAGTAATAAACACCACGTTCATGTGCATATAAAACGATTATGTATGTAGTTTAGTTATGTATATAACTTGATCATTATAAGACTATACTTATTGGTTATATTATTATACTTTGATATACTATAGTTACTAACTAGGCTACCAACTAGATACACATATAACTAGGCTAAGGGAGACGTGGACCATTCATTGTCGATACGTACGGAGCCCACCAAATTTTAAACCATAGAAATTTAAAAGGGATATAAGAGAAGAAGTGGTCGGTCAAAGCTGGTGGCTATTAGGAACGGGTTCATTGAGCATAAACCTTTGATTAATTAAGATCTTTAATTAATTAGGTAATTTATGCGCGATGAGAAATTAATTAGGTAATTAATTAGTGAATAGTTTAATCGAAGACGATGAGAAAACTCACAATTTTTCTGATCATGTTCTCCATCTCAACCAAGAATTGATTATTTGGCATATGCCTCATCACTTTCTTCACAGCTCTGTAGATGGTTTACATGAGAAAACAAACTCAAAAATCAACCGGAGAAAGAAAAAGAAAAAAAAACAAATGTCTTGTAAGATAGAAGAAACTCACGTCTTGAATGTTAATTTATGAGCTTTTAAACCACTGTACCCACTTGCCCCATGAAAAGGGCTGTTTCGCATCTTCATTGATCACTTTTGGTTTTAAGGAAATTGTTTTCAGATGGATATTTAAGCACTTCAAATATTTTATAGGTTCTTTTCAAAAGAAGAAAGAGATCTTTGTGTGTGTGAGATAGAGGAGAGCAATGAGATGAGTTTCAGAAAGAGTAGTTAGTTGATGGAATTATAAAGGGATTTATTTGAGTATTGACGAAGTAGCACTTGAAACTTCGAGGAAGATTCGTCGTTGCTGGCGGAGTTTATTTGTGCTTAGTAAGGGATTTTTGCAAATTTGACTCAAAACTCAAAGTCAAACACAAAACTAACCTTTCTTGTTTTTTGATTTTTCATTTGTCTTATTCACCCCATCTGTTCACATTATTTACGAAAATGCCATTACACTTTTTTCTTTTCTTTTTTTTGAAAATTATTTTTTTACTCTCTCAACCTCATCATCTTCAAGTATTTACAAGAT